AAAAAAGAAGAGAGAGAGAGAGAGAGAGAGAGAGAGAGAGAGAGAGATGTGTGTGTGTGTGTGTGTGTGTGTGTGTGTGTGAACGCTGTGCAAATGTTTCTGCTCTTGTCCTGACACAGAAATTCCCCGATGAAGTTTAAGTGTTAAATTTATCCTTTGTGAGATACACAATTGAACAAAGTCAACATCAGAGGGAGGTGGGAGAGGGAGGAGGTTGAGCTCACATGCACAGCTCTAAATCACACGTTCTGATCAAAGCTTGTGGAGGCAGCCACGATGTTGTATGGCACACGGGAGAGAGGAGAAAAAATACAGAGCCCTGTCACATTTGTCTATCGAATCAGAGGATTAACAACGGGCGATAATTGAGGTTCACAAGTCAACAATGCAAACACTGCGGGACGTGTTAAGAGAGACTGACACATTTGCGGTGGATATCTGTTCAAGTGTGGAAACAGTCCCAATATTGGTTTTAGAGTTTAACGACCAATTAACTACATTATTAACATTACATGTGGTGGGGAGATGGTTTACAATAGCATAAGTTAGCATAGAATATCTTACAACTTTTCACAAGAGCTTTTAGCAACAATGTGAATGACAAAATAAACATCTAGCTAACAAACTAGCTGACTTTGAACTGACTCAATGTACTTCCACTTAGACTACTTGATACTAGTTTGCCTCAAAATCTACTAAATCTGGTTCAGATTTCATTCTAAAGGTAAATGACTAAAACGAGTGTAAAAATTCTGCTTGATACTGCTGGATAATGCTGGCTGCGCAGGAGAAGGAAAACAATGCCTCCACAGCACATTGGCACTGCGTACAGCGGTCTTAATACAATTAGTTAATTAATTAAACTCTAAACTCAATTAAGCGAGCCATTAAGCAGCACATTAAACAGCACATTAAACAGTCTCTGAGTCCTTAAAGAGGCCCTTAGTGATAAGGTCGGTTATGAGAGCAGAAAAAGACCTCTTAAAGTCAGCATGCAGGTTGTTGACAGCTTTGAAGAGCAGCTGTTTGACTGTATAGTGTTGCAGAAGAACAAAATGCCTCTCTGTGCAATAATCTGATTCTGAAACATGCCACCAAATGACATTATATCACAGCTGAACAGAAATCTTTTTGTTTTGAGATGAGAATCCTGACAGATAAAACATAAGTCTTCAAATCGAGTTTCCCGGTAAACCTCCTGCTCATACAGTTTTCATCCTGGTTGGGAAATCTAGATTCCACAATTGTCCGATTTGTATGTCATCAAAACAGGGCAAAAACTGAGATTTTGTTTCTCAGAATCAGAAAAAGAATTGCTTCGGGATCCCGCAGTTAAGTAACAGAGGTCCCCGGCTACATTTCCCAGAAGTCAAGTGGCTCCACAGGCTTAACCGACCCAGGTCAACAGCTCCATCTCAACATGCACACAAAAGGAGGGGTGCAATCTTGGCCCTGAGCCAAGACAACTCTGAAACGCTCTGATGCTTCTTACCAGGTAGCTGTGAATGCAGTAGTACAGACTGGCGAGATCATACAGTGTAACCGTGACAGTGCCTGAATAGGTTAGGCTAGTTAACAGGCTTGAAGGTTAGCCTTGGGTTTCGTCCTGCCTGTTTTGAAATTCATGAATGTAAAGAAAGACGTGCATGCATATGTACCTGTTTTGGGGTCCACGTCTGCCTGTAGATGTGGAGGGGGGTTCCCAGGCGTGAAGTGCTCATTGCTGTAGGTGATCAGAGGTGTGAGCGGGTGCACATGGTGAGGGTGCTGTACCACGGGGACCTTGGGGGGGGGGGGGGGGGGGGGGGGGAAGAAGAAGAAGCTGTTAATAAGCTGGGTTGAGGCAGAAACACACTGGTGCCTCGATTTCAACTATGCATCCATCACAAACCACAAGCCCATTCTCAGAACAGTGTGGTTTGTAATTAAAAACACTTTCAGAGGTGCACAATATTGATTCAAACAGCCATTGGATACATAAAAGCCTGATTGCATTACGTGTCTCTGACCCAAAAAGCATCACGTTTACAATCACAGAAACCACCTAATAAACCAAATGACAGTCATTCTAAGCACACTCTTGCTCTCCCTCTTTTTTCTCTGGGTTACCCACATCTTGCGCTCCCACCCCTTCCTCTTCCTTCAGGGTCTGGTTTTGGAAAGGGTTTGCATTATAAAAGATAGGAGATGAGGGGTGGAGGGGAAGAGAGAAAATCCATTTCTGCATTTTGGTCAAATTGGTTTTAGCTATGTAATCTGCTCTTTGTGTTCTTAAGTGGCACAGGCCCCATTTTCAATTACCCAAGATTACAGCCGAGCGGAGGGGTGCTGAGGCATAGCCTGGCATTAGTGTATTCCCAGTACACGCGACCTAACCAGATTACTGCCGTGCCATAGATTTGACGGGCCACACTTGGACTGGGATTTGCTTCCGTAGACGCTGCATAAATTGGCGCTAACCGAGCCGACTGACAGGAAAACATCTCACACCCTGAGTTGTTCACATGCATGCGGGTTTTGAGGCGCCCACGTGTCTGATTGACAGCTGTGCATGTCCCGCAGCACATTCGTGGGGATGGAAAAGGGCACATAGGGGCCACTGTCTTTATTTAAAACGTGCCAAATTAAATCCAGCACTTGAGATGTTGTTAAAAAAGCAATGGTGTTGGATGTCAGGACATGATTTATAAAAGCAGAGGTGAGCCATCCTTTTGTCAGGACTAAAATATCTAAGCTCTGAGAATAGGAAGGACACCAGGGCCCAGGCCTGAGAGGTTGAAGTATCCATCCAGGGACTCTAAACGTGGAGAAAGAGGCACAGAGAGAGGCCGCTTTCAGCACTGGGGCGTTCCGCTCTGCCATACTCCCAATGAAAGATTAATGAACTGAACAGAGCTGCTTGGGGAAAGAAAAGGGGCTCTGGGGATGTTTTTGGGGCCCCTGAGAGCAGAAAACAGCGTGGAGACAGAAAGAGAAATGCGAAAAGGAAAGCGCGAGGCCACAGAGAAAAACAACTCGAGAGATAAGATATAAAAATACATTTTAAAAAGAAAGACCTCTCATCAGAAAAACAGACGGGATGATGACAGCTGCCAAACAAGGCTGACGAGTTTGCCATTAAAGGAATGGTGCTGCACACCCCTCCACCACGAGCTACCCCATAACCTCCCCCTCAGTAATGATGTGAAAGAATGTTGTCAATTCTCCCTGCACTGAAAGGCTTTAGTAGCCATTTAAATGAGTTCTTTTGTCCAAGGCCTCTCCATTGAGGGACAGCTCCAAATGGCTGTCCACTGCGGCCACATTCACCCAGAGACAAGCCAAATGATTTACATCACAGTCACTGCGTCTAACAGAACCCCTTTCAAACGCCACATAGCCACACGAATAATAGCCAGGCATCCCGTTTAACTGGCTTCTAGGGAGCGCAGCACGCTATCGCAGTTCGCTACAGTAGCGTTTCTGCCCGCTTCTCTACGTGAACGGATCAGTAAGACCCTAAGAAGAAAAAAGGAGGTAGATTGGAATAGCTAGAAATGGAATTTCTTGAGCTTTTATTCTTCACATTGGGAGACCCGCACCTGCTAGAAAGACTTCTTAAAACATGGACCTGCATTTAGGCCTCATTTTAAAACACGCAAGCACTTTTCTGTTTGGTTTTTCTTTTTTGTCATGACGCCTTCCCGGACAAGACACACAGCGGGACAAAAATAACATGGCGCAATGGATAATCACCATACAAAAACACATTCTTTAAACAATTTCCCTTCTGAGTGCTATTCAAGTCCATTAAGTCTTCAGTCTTAAGAAAAGCTTCACAATAAATCTGGCTCTATTGACCCCGTTGCTATTGTACGATGGCTTTACAATGTTCTTCCAGACATAGCTAATTGTCTCTAGCATCTCAGGGGAGTGAAGAAGACCACCTACGTATGTGCCAGTGCATACCCGCGGACAACCACATACTGTCGGGCGCTAACAATTGCAGAATAAGCGCTCTTTAAAACCCTACTTCTAAACAACTCATTGAGTTTAGAGACTGACACACGGAGGTCCAGCGAGACGCACAATAAACCCACACAAGGAACACAAAGAAAATATGTGGGCGTCTTTTTCCCTATTATGTGCAAAGAAAGCGGACTACTTCCTGTTTAATAGTTTGCCAATACCTCCCACCACAACCATCACAACTACACAGAGGAAAAAATGCTAAAGGACTAATTCACATAACCAGCTAAATAATAATAATGATAATATAAAAAAATTAAAACTAGATTTCCAAATGTGGTAATTTCCTGGAAAAAAAAAACAGCAGTTTGTAGATGTATTTTGGTAAGGTAAATAAATATAAAATACTCTTAATATGCGTCAACAAAATCTGTCTGCATAGCCATTGATTGTGTGAGTACATCTGTAGACAAACGTACCCTCCTCCAAACCAATAAGATTGACAGTTTCTGCTTGGGGTCGTGACCCCTAGTGGTGGTCTTACAAAAGCCTGGCCTGTTTTAATGGAGAGGCCTGTTTGTCTTAGAAAAGCATGTCACACTCATTTTGATGCAGCGTCTATCAAATCCTGTCCTTCACTCTCTCTTCCTCTCTCGTTTCAAACCAAGTTATGTGCACACGCACTCACACACACACACATGCACTCACCCTTCTGACATCTTTAGATAAGTCTTCAGACAGTTTTTTACTTTTCATGATTCGGATCAAAAGAATCACTTTTTATACTCACAAAATACACACTGTCAAATAAGAGAAAGAATACATCAGGGATCCAAATTCCTTTTGAGCAACAAATTGCCATGATCATTTTAGTAACAATTTGCAGTAAATTTTAATTATTATTATTATTATTAGTAGTAGTAGTAGTAGTAGTAGTACTACAGTAGTAGTAGTAGTAGTAGTAGTGGTAGTAGTATTATATACATATAATTATTCTTATGTTTATCATTTATATATTGATTTTCACAATACTCAAGGCCACTTTACAACAAAGCACAAATACTCAAGGGTAAGCTTTACAACAAAGTAAATAAATAAATAAATAATTACATACATAAATATTTTTAAAATACTTAAACAATAATTAAAAAATAATAATTTCAAAAAGACTGTAGGAGTTTTTTTTGACAATTAAATATTTAAGAGCAGAACATAGTTATAAAAATATATATTTACTACATACATTTCCATAATGAATTATAATTTTAATAAATCATAATAATTCTAATTTAAAATGTTTAGCTTAAAATGAAGGAGAATCCTGATATTTAGTTAATCTTATTTTAAAAAATCATAATTAAAAATTTACAATTTATAATGCAAAAGAACTCTGATACAAAGTAAATGTTACATTAGCTGATTATTAGAAAAAAAAAATTATACTTCGTTATATTAGTGGTATCTGGTATCTGTGAGTGGCCTGTGGAAGAGATACAAGGAAAAAGATGAAGACAGAGAGCCGGACAGCAGCAGGAAAAAGCTGTTGGCGCTGCATTTCCGCTTGGTGGCACCTTGCAGAGCAATTTAAAGACAAAATGTGAAGGTTGCGACCTTGTGGCCCCTGAGGGCCCGAGTGCCTCTCTCCGCTTTACGACATGATATGATGAGTTGTCACTGGAGCTTGTGGGCTCTAATGAGCTGTAGTGGGGCTGGGGTGGGGGGACACGCAGGGGGTGTGACATCCTCATGATGGATAGAGGGGCTCTCAGGCCTGCGAAATTCCAGAGCAAGCAGAAAAAGCTGCCAAGGACTTGAACTCGAGAAGTGTACGTGCCAGTGGCTCGCATCCAAGCAGTGGACACAATGCAGAAAACATCCACGCTTGTTTATGTATGAGAATGTTCAAATGAGCAAGAAATAGATGCAGCCAAATCCACGCAGCCAATGCGTGTCGTTCAGAAAAGAAAGCTCGAAATGAGAACTTCAAAAGAATATGGAACTATGATGATGTCACCGTCACTATAACAACCCTCATCCGCTCACCGCTCACACAAACGGATACAAACAAAACAAATGCCTAACTTTGACACTCTTTGACATATAAATAGCAACTTTCCTCCTCTGTTCTCAATACAGAAAAACATAGTGCCAATTTTTTACTTCCTTAATATAAAAACAATTATGATAAAGAAAACTGTAAATCAAATTGGTTAAAAGAAAATCAAGAAAACATGTAATATTGCTTCTAATGAAATTGAAAACAACATAAAAGTGCAGGATTATTGAATGAATAATTATTGATGCATTTTAAGCATCAAGTAAATGAAAGAATTATTTTTTGGTAATTTAAAGCAATAAAGAAAATTAAATAACCAAACTAATTTTCTTAAATGCAAATTTCAAATCTTAAACATCGAAGTCACAGGCTAAAAATAAGCACCAAAAATACTTATGCTATATTCATTCTGTTCATATATTATGACTTCACTTCCCTTCCAAACCCTCAACCCTGTCATCAGACATTTTTTTAATGCTATATCCATTTATCTATCTCTTAGTTCTTCCTTATGAAACACACACACACACACACACACTCACAGACATCTTAAGCCACTCTGAGGCAGATAAAATGACAGTGCATCCTTTACCACAGTCCTAGCACTGAGTATGTTTAACAAAAGAAGAAAGCAGATTTTAAAAGGGCCACAGGAGTGTGAAAACAGCGTTTGTATTAGCGCTGAGCACTTACCCAAGCATTGAGACTGAATTGCCAGCAGCCAACCTGCTGTAGGAGAGACAGCCCAGAGGCCAGAGAGCCAGTCTTTCCTCCCCTCTCCTCCAGCCCCAGTGAAAGGCCTTCTCTCGGGTACATGAGCAGCTCCGTGGCCCTCCCCTGTCCTCCACCTCTCACTCCCGCCAACGAATAAGAGTATTTCTCCTTTCTTCCCTCTCTTCTTGTTCTTTTTCAACCTTAGCTTCTTTCCCAAAACTGCTATTGTGTTTGAGCGGGTGCATGTGTGTGTCCCACACCAAAGGGTCGCACACACACAGAAGTTCACGTGCACGCCATTGTTCGCAGGGCGGTTTTTTTTTTTTTTTTTTTTTTTTGGAGTGGGTCTTGTGCGGATCACAGGGAGAGCTGCGTCTCAGGACGTCCGGCAAGGCCTGTCCTCCGCCAGCGGATAATCACTCATTTCTCCGTCGGGTTTTCCTTCAGCAGTCAGTCTGTCCAGCTCAAAACGATACGTTTTTTAAAAAAGATGAAGAGAAATCTCACTTGATAGTTATCAGAGCTGCAGAGATGTCTTCCCACAAGCAAAGAAACATGAAAAAACACTAGGAAAAAAAGGCTTATTATGGTTGTGCATGTGTCTGTCCAAGTTTGTGTGTGTATGTGTGTTTGTGTGGGTTCTGCAGTGCCTCCAGGATGCCCAAAGACGAACCAGCAGCTTGAAAAGCCTTGGCTACAACAAGGTAAAGCGAGCAAGGCAAGGGAAGAAGACAGAAAGAGAGAGAGAGAGCGAGAGAAAAGACAAGAGAAAACAACATCCACAAAGGGAGGGCAAGATCAGCAAAGTGTGGCAAGCAGTCACTTAGCTGTGTGATTCTGACAGTCCCCTCTCTAAGCCCACCATCCGGGGGAGGACGGAGGAAAAGGGGAGAAAGGTATTTGTCTCCGTTTTGACATGGATGTGACATCAATGTGGGATCTTGTTTCTATTGTTTTATTCCCTCTTTTTCTTTTTTAGGGGAATAAGGAAGCTCCTACATTTAACTCTTCATGGTCTTGTCCTGACAAAACTACAAAGGCCTTTGGTGCACAAGATCCTCTCTTTTATTTGTGTGTATTTTTTACTTTACTTTGCTGTCTTGAAATAATTTTTCTAAATATGTGTAACTGTCTGGATTCACATTCTTCACCAAAAAACAAGGAATTGAAATAAATAAATGGAAGAAGGAATGCTTATTAATAACCAATTAAAAACTTTCCATCTGATCAAACTCTGTTTTATCACAATCTAAAAATGTGTATCTTTCCCCTTGTTTTTTATTTCAAATGTAATTTTTTTTATAAAGCCACAAATATCCCACTATTTTAAACCTTTTAATTTCAAATGTTCAAATACACTGCAAAAAAAAAATATCTAAAACCAACTGTCATTACATCTGAAATTATTTTGTACGATTTAATTTTTCTCATACATTTAAAAGAAAAAAAATTACCTACATTTTTCTGAAACTGAGAAAGTGCACATGCTGTTTTTCAGCACTTAAATTTTCCCTCCCTCTCTCCTCGCCGTTTTTCGGCTGCTGTCTTTCGGCCCTAAATGCCAAAAACAAAACCCTGGGAATGTCCTCTACAAGACTCACACAAAAGCCAGACTGACAAGTAAGCGCCCCAGCAACGTGGCAGCTAATTGCCTCCCCTCCCTCTATTCAGCCGGGCCGCCACGCTCCCACGGCCCCCCTCTGTCACACGTGCAATTTCTTAAGTAAACTAGCAGTTCGGCCGCCGCTGACCGGCAGGCTGCAAACACCCGCCACAATAATGACAACCCAAACGCAGGCAGAAAAAAAGAGACAAAATTTACAGTCATTCTTAATGTTTTTAAAAGAGAGAAAATAATGAGGAGAAAAATGAATAAATGTAATACTTTTAAGAACATTCAATAAAAGTGATTTCCACTAAATCAGCAAGGTAATTTCTAATTGTGAATAGACCTCTGCAAATAATCTGTGAATTTACTTTGATCCCAAAGAAATTAAATTAACAATTTCAATGAACTATAATACAAACATATTTTATATATAAAATTAGATTTTATAATAGACACATTTCATAATTTGCTATTACAATTAAAAAAAATTACAATAAAATAAAGTTATTTTTCAACAGATTAAAAAAATTGAATGAGATATGTCTATTAATAATACACATAATGATTTCAAAAATTGTATATATAAATAGTATTGCTATATTTATAAAAAACAACAGACAACTATAAATAATATTTTGTATTTGTTTCAAAATCTCAACATTTATTTTCTATTTATTACCTTTAACATTTAACAATATTACATTTAATTACACTGATAAATTATTAGTTTAAGAATCTAAAATATAATTGCTTCTTTAAATATACTGTATTATAATTCAAATAACAATTTAAATTTGAAAAACATTTATAAAATTCTTTGCTTTGCAAAAAAAAAAGAACATATGAGAGACTGTCAGACAATGCAATCAAACTCAACAGCCTTTCTTTATCAAATCGTGTCAAGCTGTCACTTAACAACTTAAGTGATATAAATTGCAAAATGTCAGGCACATACCCACAAACAACAAAAAAAAATCCCAAAGTAGCTGCCAAAAAATAATAAAACCCCTCGACAAATCCAAATCGAAACAAGAAGAAAAATGTGACATGGAAATGTGAAATCTTACCATTTAAATAGGCTCTATATGGAATAGGGTCCTGATGCTGCTCGGTTCCTGGTTAAAACAAGCATGCTGGCACTCGCCATAGCGCTTTGACTACAACAAGATGCACATCACTATGTCATCCACTAATCCACTGGAGGGCAGCACCACATCTACAGCAGCCCTCCAGCCCTGATTGCCTGAGCCGATAACACAAAATACCCAGAGACAGGCGCTCTTCCCCAACCTACAGCCCGGACGATGGTAGCTGGTGCTGGCCACCTTCAGCAAGGTCCTAGGAGCCCAGACTGGCTGCTCTCCTTCAGCTATTCAACAAAATACGGCGGCTTAGTCCTTCTCTCACTCTGCGGGAAAGGAAAAAAGCCATCTCTCGCTCTCTCTCTCTTTTCCCTGCTCATCTTCATATCCTCTTTATTAAGCTCTTTTGAGTCCATCTCTTTTTCTTTTTTTTGTTTGATAAGTTGAAAGGACAACAAAAAAAGGGAGAAAGAGTGCGAGGCTTTCCGTTCCCTCTCCTCTTGGCTTGGCAAACATAAAGGTACTCGAGGCTCTTCTATAGGAGTTGCCCTAACTTGGCTAAACTCAAGCAGCAGGGTGTCCCCCGTCATG